CCATGAAGAAAGAGAAAACACAGCATCAAAGAATAGCAAAATAATACAACTCAATTTATTGAATAACATCAATTATATCTCTGACATCCATGTAAAGATACAAAAGAACACAATGTAGCAGCAGACTATACCCTACCAAATTCTGCAACCTGGAAAAGGCAAAAGAGAAAGACTAATCAATCAGTTTTCCCTTTTCTCCACCAGAATGACATCCTTTTTCCCTTAACTTTTTGCCTCACATCCAATTTGATCACCCCTTCTTTACCCATATCTTCTCTAAATTTTGATTCAAAAAAAGAGAAAAAAATCTCATATACATACTTGTTAACAAGAAGAGAATCGAAGCATTACTTTCTTATCAAAACAGACACAGATCTAATAAATCTAGCACATGGCATGGGATTTTTGGGCATTGCTTGGGTCAAGCTAGGCTACCTAGTGATTTACAAACATTCATTGCACACTTTCTATATACTTATCTTCATCCAATCAAAGACGCCCATGCCATAAGTATCAGACTCAGCAAAAGCTTAGCTAACATATAGACGAACCCGCCTTTCTTTTATAATCATTAGAATGATTCTGATTAATCATTTTGCTTTAAAAATAACAAGATAGTATTTCAGTAGCGAACAAAGACACTATGGATGATTAAAGCAATAACATGCCCACAAGCCTCTGAAAGTTTGCAAGACTTCAAACTAAGAAATAGACAATTTGAGATCCCTATCTAATTCAAATGATAAAGAATATGGTTAAAATGGCCTGTAAATCAACTGAGTAGCTTCAACATAAGCTCAACATACTATATACTTAACTTGGACTTGAAAACAATCATGTTAACTAAAATGCAACAATCAACTATACTTACAATTTGCAGCTTAATTGTCTTTCCATCCTGCTCCACAGTCCTAATTTTCTACAATCCAAAAATCATTCCAAAACTTTCATAAAAAACAAACAATAAGTGACATAAAACAACTAGAGAGACGAGATTCTTACGAAATCAACTCCAATGGTGCTAATGTAACTGTCAACATACGAATCATCCTAAAACATAATCAACCAAAACAACATAATTATATCCACTAAGCAATAAATCATTATTATCCTACAAAAACATATTTACCGGCATTTTACCCTAACGAAGATAATCGAACCATAACATACGCATTATACAACAGAAAATTCATTCACACATACAAATAGAGTATAAACAGAGGAGATCAAAGTAAAATAGGTGTACATACGGCGAATCTGAGAAGAAGACATGATTTGCCGACAGAAGAATCGCCGATTAACAACAGTTTGAACAAGTAATCGCTGCAATCAAAGAAACAAAAAATCAGTAATAAAAATGAAAAATAATGGAGAAAGATTCAGATGAATATCGTACTATTCGTTGCTCATGTTTGCTTCTTCCCTTGGCTACAGAGGAAAAAAAAGTTTTCTGAGAAGTGAGAGATGATTTCTCTTTTCGTGTGTATGTCTTTATTAGTCGACTCTTTGGATTTTTTTCTTTTCTTTTTATATTAATACTCCTGTCATTTTTGACGAGAAAAAAAAAAAGAGAAAAGAAAATTGAAAAAGAAACGTGTCAATTAATATTGGAGAAAATGATTACCTACCTGTCAATTCATTCCATTACTAGTAAAACTATCCGCGTTTTGCGCATAAATTTAATATCACGAAATTTATAAAATAACACTTAAAACTTATCAGCTATTAAAACTAAAGTATTATATTATCTTACATACAAAATTATGTAGTAAGAAACATTAATAATGTAAAGGAAAATGAAAATTATTACATCTTATAATTTATCTTTAATAACATAAGTATAAATTAATGATTGTAAAAATACATACCAGAATCTGTAACATAAGCAATGATGTTAGTGAGTCACTCAACAGGAGCAAAGTACACAAACATTTAATTGTGAAGAAGAGGTTCAGAATTTTCGTTTTTTTAAAATGAGAGGAAATTCCTCTATTTATAGACAATAAAGGATAGTGTGAACAAATATTTATTGTGCCTTATCAGAAAGGTTACAACTATTTGGAAAAGGTGCAATCCTTCGAAAATGTCACAACCTTTCATAAAAGTCACAATTTTTCATAAAAGTCGCAACTCTTTATTAAAGTCGCAACTTTTAATAAAAGTTACAACTTTTCATGAAAGGGTAAGGCTGGTTTTGGAAATAAATAAATTAACAGGAAATTCTGATTTGTGATGGCGTCACGTAGGCGGGCCCTAAGGTGTATATATATATATATATATATGATTATACCACTTTTCCATTTAGGTGTCATTCGGTTTAAATTATATTAGTACGTGTTATTAGTAATATAAAGATTAGCTATGCTTTTAAAGTTGGATGTTTATCGAAAATAATTTCAATAGAGATAGGGTAAGGTTTATGCTCATCTTTACCGGCGTCCTCAAGTCCTTAAAATAGCTTGCACAACTCTTCATTTCGTAGGCCTCGCTCGATTCACTTATTTTTTTTTAAATGTTAATATCAAAATATTAGCCATCAAGAGAGAGAAAAAACTTGACTTTAGGTTAGGTCGGTCTCATCATTCACACAATTCTCCAGTTTATCGATTGATTATGTGAGTAAGCATCCAGCACATAGCGAATGAAAAAAGTGTTTATCCTGGATTTTCTTTGTCAAGAAAAATGTCTTCCTCGTTGTTGATACCAACAAGACCCAGATAGATGATGCCCTTTGATTGATAGTGAGAGGATTCTTAGTATGTGCATACCCACAAAAGAGGGTGCGGATAAAAAAATAAGCATTTGATTTTCTTTGTTGCTCTCCCTTTGCAGTTAGAAAGGAATCTGTCTAACTTTGGTAATTTCCCCCTATGCAATTCACAAAAATTCTACGAATCTCTTGGTGGATAAGTTTGACGAATCAGCAATCGTGTGGAATTGAGTTTCTTATTTGGTGAATTTGATCTATAGTTACATGACAATCGATTCCATTTGGTGGTACCCTCTCGATGATTATTGATTCAACATTGATTTTGTGCATGAATTGGAGGACTCTCCTTTCATCCATCGAGTCAAGTAAATGCAGTGTACTATTTTCTAACTAAATCGTAAATTCACAAACAAAATAATTTTAATAAATAGTAATAATTATTAGCATGTCTTATATAAAAATTTGCTCATATGACTTCAATATGAAATTACTGTAATTCTATGAAAATATAGCATGGGTACTAAATCAAACTTTTACAAAGGAAATGATCGACAATCAACTTTAGGTTGAAAAGTTTTTGAAAATTATGATAACAAATGTGTTTCAAGAAACATTATTTTTCGAAATTAAAATTAAAATACTTCTCCAAAAAATACAAATGATTCTTTGGAAGAACTAACAGAATATTCTATACAATATCCTAAACATTTTCTTAAAGTTTTTCCAAATTAAATTTCCCTAAACAAAAAAGAAGAAAAAAAACAAATCCTAAACAACATATCTTTGTTTGGTCTGCCATGTGATGAGAAAATATTTTTTTACTCAATTGGCAATGGATAGGTTGGCCATGACTACTACACGTCCAATTTGTTGCACCAATTTAATTAATTAATTTATTTCCATAAATGATTTGATAGGTTAACTATATATTATTTTAATTTGGTATCTTGTCAACATTATGTAAGTTATTAAAGTAGTCACTTGAAAGGGAAATTTGTCTTGTACTCTAAGCTTCATTAGGAAAAATCATTCCTTGCCCAAACTCTGTCCAACAATGAATATTCTTCCTCCAATCATTTAGAATAATCAAATTCTATCCCTTTCCTAATTCACAACTACTTGTTTTATAAAAAAATAAATAAAAATGTGTCAGGTAATTTGCGTTCTTTTTATTTGTCTAATTTTTTATATACAAAATTATTTAGTATCTATTATTGATGGGAGATATCAAATATCTCATAAAATTAATTGAGATGTGTATAAATTGATATGACTAACTAATAGATCGTACATTATGCTCTTACTACTAAACTAAAGTTCAGAGGTTAATTTTTACATACACAAGTTAAAGAATATTCAAAGAGTTAGCGATGTGATTTAAATTCCGCATGGGTTTTAAATATAAAACTATTATTTTGATTACGAATATAATAAAATTTAGAAATTTTTTTATCCAAATTTTGTAATTAGTTTTTTTTTAAAAAAAATCCTTAATATGTATTAGTAATTTATCTAAAATGAAATAAACAATCTTTTCTTCTTCATTTCCACTATTTCAATCCAAACAAATATTGAAATACATCCCATTCTTCTTTTCCCTAGTTTTCAAAACATAGAGAAAAATCATCATGCATGATTGACAAAAAAAAAATCTCTTAAATGATAAATAATTAAGGTGTGTTTGATATAACAAAAAGTTATTTTTGAGAAAAACTTATAATAAGGAAATTATTTTATGTTGGATGGTTACCCAATCAAAAGGGAGAAATCACTTAACACGGAGGGATGCCATTTTCTCTAATAAATATCTTAACTTTGAATGTCATATCAATTGCTTCCATTGTGACATATTATTATCAATCTCTAATACTTGAAATTCTCACGAAAACACTATAAAAACTATATTATTATTATTATTATTTTAAAGAATCTCTTAACAAAACAAATATAGATTAAGCATTTTTACAAAAAAAAAAATTTCATAAAAATTAACTTCTATGTACCAAACATATTACATGAAAAAAGTAGTCTCAACTTCATTTGCCTCTATTATACCTAAAATATCATAATATTCCCAATTTATTGGTATTATTGATACTCTCCTCACTCAAAAACAATAACCTCAGTGATCCATCAGCAGGATCTTCCAATCATCCACCCCTCAAAAAATGAACAAATAAAGAGAGATAAACTAAAAATAAAAATAAAAATATGTTACTCAAGACTCTCACAACTGTTTGACATGAATCCAGTGAAATTTTTCAAGAGTCCGAGTAATATAGAGGACAAAAAAATAATTAGGGGCAAAATGGCATATTCAAGTTGCTCTTATGACTAGGAATTGTAAAATGCCTTAACCTCCCAACTTGTTTCTTCATATATCCCTCACACAAAAATTCCCTAGAAAATTTGTCCTCAATATCCCTATTCACATCATGCACAAACAAATGTGTCTCTCCATCTTCTCTGTTCCTTGCCATCATTCCTGCTGTATAAATTGCTGTCATTCTTCCTGGTGCATCCTCATAGTATCCTGTTGGTGCATCCACCATAATTATATCCCATTTAATATCATAAATTTCACTAGGCATACCCTTTAAGGCAAGTTGACACATTGAATATCTAGGATCAGCTATAGTTGTACACTCTGTTCCTTTCCCTGCTTCTATTAAAACATTTGCTTGATTCACTTTACTGTCATATGTAACATGGTAGGATTCCAACATGGGAAATCTCTTCTTGATTTGTTGTATCCATGCCTCATCTTCTTCGAGGAAGATCGTTCGTCCTCCATAGTTTAGTGTGTGCCACATTAGGCTATCATGTCCAAGACCAAATACAAGGAAGTTGCAAGGTGATTTCTTGTCTAGAATCTTGGATGTTACTAATATCTCTTTTTGTGTTTGTTGTGGTGTGATGGCTGAGGTTGTGTAGTGAATGAGTGATTTTGCTACTGATGATGGAATTTTATTACATTTTGGTGATGAACAAGTACTTTTTGATGATGATGATGTACTTAGACTGGATGATGTTAATGTTGATCTCAACACAAAGAGAAGTAAGAAAGCTATGAAAACACATATGAGAAGAAGCTTTAGGCTAAGTGAACCATGTGTTTTAGGCCTCATGCTTGACTTGGGAGTTATTACAAGTTTTGTTTAAAAGCTAGGAGGCAAAGAGATATATATATTGAAGATTTTGATGTAAGATAAGAAAAATTTGGATGAAGCAATGTAGTTGCTGGTAGATATGAAGAGGTTTGGTAGAGAGAGATCTACTTGATTGTGATGGAGTTTGTTGATATTAAGAGGAATGTCAATTTGCTATGGGGCAAGAAAGAAGCACAAAGAGCTTTATGGAATCCTTTCACCAACAAATAATTCAATTGAATTTTATTTAGTGTAGCTTTAATATATGATTTTTGTATTTGAATGAAATGAACTCGAATAGAGTGGGTAAATGTACAAGATTCATATAACCGATCCCTACTAGTTTGGCGTTAAAGGTTCATTGATTGATTGTAAGTGTTACACTTCTAATGAAAAAAGAAGCAAAAGTTTCATAGACATGGTGACTACCACCAACGTTTATGTCCAATATCCATGATGAAAAACGAGAAGAATATATAAACTAGATAATTTGATACTAAATGTTAGATCCTACCATCATATTGATGTATCTGTGTAATATTCAAAATTCCTACAAATTTGAAAGAAAAAAAAATGTTTATCCTTTACATGAAGAACTGACCAAGGTATAACTGTACAACAATACTTCCCAACACATACACCACCAAAAGAATAACTCTCTTTTCATTCCAAGGGCCATTACAAGAGGAGGTTAGGATATGATTCTGGAACTGTAGACTGTGCATTCTGCTAAGTACTACTTTCAGTATAGGCAAAAAAGACTTGAGAGTTCCATGTGAGTAAAGCTTTTCTCTTGCTGCTGCGATTTTCGTAGGTTAGGATTTATTGTTGCTTCCTTGATCCATGAAACTCTACCATTGGCTAGAGTTCTGTAATACATCAAAAGGTTGCATCTTCTTGCTCCTCTACAAGTCACCGGCCATTGGTCGTATAGTGTAAGAGCGATTCTGTTTGCCCATTGTCAGTGAGGTTTTTTCTTATCTTATTTCTGTCAATACGAGCTTTACGGACAGCCTGCTGAATTTGTTTCTCATGCTCTTTCAGCATTTCGTCGATGTTTCCACCAGGTGGCATCAAAGGTCCAGAGTAGTGGATTCGATTCTTCTTTGGAATATAACCCTACAGCAAAACAAAAAATAAATTTATTAGGCACTCTACTGGATAGTACTCGTGATATGCCTCTCTCTCCTTCTTTTTCTTCAGCCAAAGCAGAAAATGGAAGATCCTTTCTGTGAGCATATTTCTCTTTCATTGTGTTTTTTTCTTCATTTTTATTTTTTGGTGTGGTGTAGGATTTCAACCATAATACACTACTAAAAGTGGGCCAAAATAGCCAAGACGTAAAGCAAATTGGAAGTTCCTTACCACTGCAGACTCCTTTCCTGTTGTATGTTTGTCCTTCTTATTGGAAGAGTCTTTCCCCAAAAGAGAGTAGGATGAGTCAGAATCATTAAGCTGATTATACGTCCCAGTCGTATGCTCTTCAGGCCACTGTGAGTGGGTACTGACCTCCCTGCTCATATCATATCTTGAACTACCATGAGCTGCAACTGAATTGGAGAACCTGGACAAATGTGCAGCTGCACCATGAGGTCTGAAGGACTTTTGAGCACTTAATTCTCCAAATATTGAAGAATCAAATGCTTGTTGAGAACTCATAAGAGGACCAAGTCCACTGGTATTTGTGTTTATGGAATTTCCAGAATCACTGACTTGTGATAAATGGCCATTATTTAAAGATCCTCTGCTGGGATCAAAAGGGAAAACAGGGCCGCCATCTTCTTCATGATTGTACTTCTCACTAACGCTTGTGGGATTTAACTGCTGTTTCCTCTTCTACATGCCATAGAAATCCAGATTATATGTGAATCTTACACTCAGCTTAAAGGTGAACATAATGTAGATAAAGAAAAGCTAAAATATGTTATTGGTGTCTAAGGAAAAAACCTGTATGGATGCTGGTAACTCAGCATTAGCGTCAGGTGCTGGTACTGCTTTTGACTGTTTTGCAGCCTTTCTACAAGATTCAATGCCAGATCCTTTTGTACCTTCACCTCTTTGCCTAGAAACAGAATATTGCTCAATAAAGTGAAAATGAAAGCAAACAATCTCCAGTTCAATGAGAACAAAAGAAGGTCTTCAGTTCAAGAGAATTTCTTGAACCGAGACTATTAGACAAGTCAGAACACAGTATTGGTTAACAACAACACGTTAAAAGCTGTTGAGTCAACTGAAATATAAGGCTCTTTGATTTGGTTAATGAGGTTGAAAACTAGGCTGGAATGATGAACACCTGCAGGACCATGACTGCAAAATGCAAGCTGGATGCCTTTGCTTGGGCGAAGAAAAAGTTATCAGACCTTTTCTCATACTCCCTCCATCCCATTTTATGTGGCACCATTTGACTTGGCATGGTGTTTAAGAAAAAAATGAAGACTTTTGGAACTTGTGGTCTAGAACAAATTCTTAGATATTTGTGTGGTTGAAAATCATTTCATTAAGGATAAACGAGGTATTTTAAGTTAAATTGTTTCTAATTATAGTAAGGTGACATTCTTTTTGGGATGGACTAAAAAGGAAAAGGTGCCACATAAAATGGGACGGAGGGAGTAATATCTAAGAGACACCAAATCCTCAATATACTAAATATACAACAAGACAGCCTACTTTTTCTCTAGAGGAAGTAATATCTTTATTGATTAATGGGAAAAATTCCAGCATACTAGATTTAAATAAATGGTAGAGAAGAATCAACAAAAATGTAACAAAACATCCTTAAGGACAAGATCCGATAAATAAAGCACAAGTAATTAAAAGAAATTGTATGTCAATCAATTTATTTGTATTAAAAGAAGAGAAATCAGTAATGAGTACCTTCTTGCTTCCTCATCTCTCATCTTAGCGTCAAATTCCTTGCTTGGAGGGTACTTAGGTAAAGATGATGGATCACAAGGAAGAGGCTTTGTTGTGAAGAACTGGAACAGAGAACCCAAACATTAAAATATATAAACAGTATAAAGAAATAAAGAGGGTGAAACACCATAAGAAGCAAATCAAACCACCAACCACTAGAAACTTCTTCACTGTGCTTAATTTTCAGATATCTATAACCACATGATTCGTATCCAGAACTGCATCATACAACATTTTACTAGCATATGCATAGAAGTGATCCAAATACAATGAAGACAAGATCTTGAGTTCCCAGAAAGGGAAAAGATTGCTGATATGGAAAAAGACGTCTGAATAAATTGACTTCCTGATTTGAGGAACTAAAAAGCTCTCTGAGAAGATAAAACAAGCTATTCACAATCTATAAACTAAGGCTTACCTCATTTTGAAGTGCCAAAGTAGCAGAACCCCGATACTCAGGTTCAAAAGCCAGGAGAGAATCCAAAAGTACTAAAGCTGATGGAGGGAAGTCCTTGAATATGTTGGCAAGGCAGCGTTTATATGGCTGTTGAGGTTTAAAGATCGTCGCATGTGGCAATTTTGATTTCTTCCAGTATTCTTCGGATGGTGAACCACAAAGTTTAAAGATCTTATGTAGCTGTTCCACCTGCATAACAGCTTATCCAATGAGTCATTATTGAATGGTCATTTCCTGACCGACAAGGGATGCTGGTCAGGAAACCTGTCCAATCCCAAGCCCACCCAAACCCCTTTTCTGGAACACATTTTTAAATGCACATCAGATATGCGTACAATGATAATACATGCACCAAGAGAAATGATAAGCTATAATAGAGAGAAATGCACATTTTGTTTGGTTAAATATGGAATGGTGTACAACAAAGTTGGCAGAATGCAGAAGTGACTAATGCATTTCTTTCTTTGATAGAATTTGACTAGTGCATTTTGTATGAGTACCTTGCAAGCATAATATGATTCATACTGTTTTGAAAGGAAAGGACTAGGGAGAGTACCCTAAGTTCCCAGGTGCTCAAAGGCGAAAACAACATTCGTCTAAAAGAAGTTGCTGCTAGACTAACAATTGTATGATACACTCAAGTGGCTGGAACTAAAGAGCAAAAACTAAGAAAATTCTTTATTGTTCATCAATGATATGGTAACATGTGGCAACCTTTTAACCCATATTTACCACTCGATTATGCGACATTGCAGACCACTTTAACTCCTTGAGAAACTTAACAACCAAGGACACACATGGAAAACATATTCCCGACGTGGGTAGAATATACTAGGTTGATGTTCTTCAAATGTATCACTTTTACAAAGAGATGTGGTAGATTGAAGGTTCAGTATGAACTTTCCTCGTCCTAAAATGTGCATAGGTTTATTAGCAAGAGAAGATATATCAGTATATTCTTATTTATAACCAAATACACGAAACAAAAACAGTGACTTCAACCATACCTCAGTTCTTCCTGGCATTATAGGTTTTCCTGCAAACAATTCAGCTACAATGCAACCAGAACTCCATAAATCTACAGCCACTCCATAGTCTGTAGCACCAAGCAAAAGCTCGGGAGGACGATACCACAAAGTAACTACACGACTTGTTAGAGGCTGCCTTTGATTGGTTTGGTAAAGAGTTGCCAGCCCAAAATCGCCAATCTTGAGGTTACCACTGTTGTCGATCAGAAGATTTGAACCCTTGATGTCACGGTGAAGGACACCACGACTATGGCAGTATTCAAGTCCACGAAGAAGCTGTTGAATGTAACATTTAATCTGCAAGATTACACATATTTTTTAGAAATGCAACCATCATACATAACAGTAAAAATATAAACAAGAAAGATCAGACAAACTATGACAATTTTGGTGAGCAACATGCTCTTCTCCAAGATTCTTCTCCCCAGCCCTTTTCCTATTTATTCCTCATATGACGAAAGAGGAAAGAGCAACATTAAGCCACTTCTCTCAGGCCTTTCTGCCTTTAGTCTATAGACCAAAATTAAAGCCATCTAAAATTGCCTCCACTGAAAGTAGCCTACCTTCTCTTGGCAGGTGGATAATGAAGCAGTATTGACACAGGAGAAGTTGAGAGGCAAGGAATTTC